CAAAAAAAAAAAATTATAAAAAAAATAAAAAGGCAGGGAAACGGCCCCGCCCCGCGCCCCGCCCTGCCCCACCCCCCGCACCGCCCCGTCTTAGACGGGACGGAGCACGGGGCGGGGCGAAGTGGGGGAGTGGCGGGATAGGGGTGCCCCGCCCCGTTCCGTTGCCATCCCTATTCACTTGTGTCATCGAACTATTTATTCCCAATAAGTCCTTGGATTTTCATTTTCGTTTTAGTTTAAAGCATTTCATCCACCTCCGTCCTTCAAAAGCAATGAAAATGTTGAATACTATAAAGAAAATGATAACGTGATTTGTAGAATCCGTTAATACATATAATTTGTGATTCAACTTGACAAAAAAATATTTAGTCTTTTGAAAGATCTGTGTGTTTTAGAAACGTGATTTTTATAAATAAAGTTAAAACGTTTTGATAATATGAACAATAATAAGCCCTCGTTTGGCCTTATTATTTGCGATTATAATTTTTAAAATAATATTTTTACGAAAAATGTGTGATTAAGAAAGAAGAAAAAAATTTGGATTTACGTGTAATATTATTTTATTGAAAATGTGTGTTAGATAAGAAAAAAGAGAAAAAATGATTATAATTTTAATAGGAGCCAAACTGAAGCTAAATCTAATGGACTAGCAGAATTTTTAAACTATTTCATCATTTTCACCGTGTATGCAAGCAATTAAAATAAGACAAGGGTCTAAACCGAAATTAAAATGAAAATTCAATCATTGCTTCAAAAAAAAAAAACAAAAAAATAAGTTTGATAATCAAAGCGAGACAAATGTACTAATATTGTTTTAAATCCAAAATTGAATTTTACATTTATTGAAAAAATTACTTATATTCTTATTTTCCTTTTATTATTGTTAATCCAAAATCGAACTTTAAATTTATTGAAAATTACTTATATTCTCATTTTCTTTTTTATAGTTATTTGATTTGCGTGATAATTGATTACTCAATTGAAATGATCAAATTAACGATATTTCAAATCAAGTTCTACCTTCACCTAAACATTATCTTACATGGCCACTATGCTCCACCACTCACTGCCGCAGCCTCCAATCTCCTCCACTTCCTTCCGACGTCCTTGAACCCTCCATTCCAACTCCTCCAGATCACCTTTTCTTACTATCCTTCCCAAATGCAAAAGCATAAAGATACTCAAAAGAATTCTACTCTCAAATCATCAAATTTGGGGTCCACAACACCCTGTTTGCTGTTAGCAAATTTGTCGAGTTTTGCTCCATTACCTAGTGGATCGCAACTCTTATGGTGTGCCAATCTTCAATTCTATTGAGAATCCTAATCGCATTATAGATAACTTCAAAATTCACAGATGCTGGTTAAGCTCGTCCACTGATATTTGATAAAGTTGAATTCATGGTGTTTGATAGAGGTGAATTAAGAGATGTGATGTCTTGTACAATGTTGATCTTTGGGTATGTTGCCAAGGGCAATATTAATTAAAGCCCCGTGAATTGTTCGATAAAATTCTCATTAGAGATGTTGTGTCGTTGAATGCTAAGATATCTAGGTAGGCTCAAATAGGGTAGTTTAAAGAAGATTTGAATTTATTTCAAGAAACGAGGAAAGTAAAAGCTATTCCCAATGTTATCACGTTGTTAAGCGTTCTTTCTGTATGTGCTCACTTGGGTGCTTTCGAAATGGGAAACTCAGTTAGATCTTGGATTTAAGATCATGATCATAATTCAAATCTTCACGTTGTTAATACCCTGGTTTGTATGTATGCAAAATGCGTCGATCTAAATATGGCACAAACTTTGTTTGAGAGTTTACAAGATCCTTTTTTGTGTACTATTCTTCAAAAAAAAAAAAATATCGACAATTCATTTTTAACCAAATATTCTCACAATAAAATATTTTGTACATAAATTCAAAACTTTTTCTTACTCTTAGAAAATCCTTAGAAACAAAAATAAAAGTTTAGTTATCAAATTGAAATAAAATAAAGTTGAATGACCAACATGAAATAAACCTAAATATTGGGGGACCTTCAACGAAATATTCCCTCCTGCCTTTTAAATAGCAAAAATCGCGTGCACTTACCGTTTCCCTGCCCTAGAATTCAGAGTTCTCTGTTAGCCGTCTCAAGTCCAAAGCACAACCCCGCTTTGGGTGGTGACTAACTGAGCTGACATGGGCAGCAGAACCGTGAATGGCGGCGCAACCTCCGCCGCCGAGGCCGTCGCCGTGGACAAGGGTGTTGATTTCGCTAACTATTTCTGCACCTACGGTTTCCTCTACCACCAGAAGGAGATGCTTTCTGACCGCGTTCGTATGGACGCTTATTACAATGCCGTTTTCGAGAACAAACACCACTTCGAAGGAAAGGTAAAAGCTATTCATCTATTTATAGTTTTATACTATGACTACTAAAGACCATTTATATATATATATATGTATGTCCTTATTACATGGAATTATCCTTTTATTTTCTTGGAATTTTGTTCCTTACGTTTTAGTGGATTATTAAAATGGTGATGCTTTCTAAATTAGTTTTCTCTGCGGTTTCAATTAGTTAATGGCTTATGTTCTGCTAGGGCTGGCTGAGTGAATGTATTTCAACTCTTGATATATTTAGCTAAGCTGAAAACCTGCTTAGAAGAACTTATCAAAATATGATCTTTTAATATAACTTTTTAAAAGACTTGTTAGCAACAGCGATGGTTCTAAAAAAATCCAGGTTAATTGCATGCATATAAACGGGAATGTACATTGCACGCAATCATTACTAGAAACATTTAATTGTTGGGCATATTGGCTAAGTATTTGTGCTTTAGTTTTTAAAATAAATTTTTGACATAAAGTAGGACTAAGTTGTTGAATACATGGATAGGCTGTTTTGGATGTAGGTACAGGAAGTGGTATTCTAGCTATATGGTCTGCACAGGCAGGTGCAAGGAAAGTCTATGCGGTGGAAGCCACCAAGATGGCAGAACATGCCCGTGAACTTGTTAAAGCAAATAATCTTCAGGATATCGTTGAAGTTATTGAGGAGTCAATGGAAGATGTTATCTTACCTGAAAAAGGTTAGCTTTTTCATCACCATCTCTATTATCATTCTCAGCATCCTATTCTTTGTTATCAAATTTATTTTTTGGTATGTAATTTCCTGTGAAGTTGTTAAATACATATAATGCATTATTTGCCTAATATTCTTTAACCTAAGGATACGTTCTGTGGGCAGTTGATGTAATTATTTCAGAGTGGATGGGGTACTTTCTTCTGCGTGAATCAATGTTTGACTCGGTAATTTGTGCCCGTGAGCGCTGGCTGAAGCCAAGTGGGATCATGTGAGTAATTTATACATATAGATAGAAATTAAATTCCCTTTTTTTTCCCAATCTTTATTTTTATCCCATACTTCTTGCCTTTTGAGCTTCTTATTTGTCTTGGAATTTGAGACCCTTATTTGTTGATGAGGGAAAAAGGTAGGGGAAATATAGTGTTTACTTGATGCACATATAATCCAAATTCCCATCTTTTTTAGAGGTCAGATTTTAAGCTTAACCTATAGATTGTTTATTAATTGCCTTGGAATTTCAACGTGTATCTGTAATCGTCCCCTTCTAACATTCTTTTGCTTAGTTTCTGTAAATTTTCTTTGAAGATAAAGATTTGATGCCATTCTAACTCACATTTGAGCTAACACTTCTAAAGAGATTGTTGTGAATGTTCTTAGGGCATATGGAACCAACTCATTGAGAAATGAAAGATGAAAAAACATAAAGCTTGAACTACACGTGGTGAATATGCAATTGAAAGGGGTTTGGAGAGGCATAATGTTGGACCAAAATGAATAGTAAAAAGCGTTTAAATTCAATGCTGTTCCAATCTTTATATTAATTAATGGCACGAGAAAACTATTTAGCTATTATGCAGTTCTAAAGGATACTTTTAATTTTATTGAAGTGGCATAAATTGATTTACGTTGAGGCTCACACCTCCCATCACGTAGGTAAAATGCATCGATGCCTAATATAACATTTTAAAAGTTGATTCTTATAATTGTACTGTAAGTATCTTGTCGTTGTGATATTTGCATCTGGGTTATAATTTGTCAATAACTACTATTCTCTGGAGAGAGGAAGCAAAAATATGGAGATTGTTGCAGTCTATCGAAGGCATGTGTGCATGAAAGGAGCAAGTATAATTTCAATGATGGTGCTCAAGTTGAGCATATGAGGAAACACAATGAAGTATGATTTGCTATTGACATTAGGAATTTAGAAGTAAAAGAAGTTGCAGATCAACATGGGCATTTCCTAGATTTTTTAGAAGGTGATCTAGTGTTCATTTGATGAAGAAAGGTTTTTGAAGTGTGCTCATCACAAGCTAAATTAAGACCATCCTCGTGAATTTTGAAGACATAAGTCAAATGTTGATGTGGAGGTACCCGATGACCAACCGTATAGAACCATTTTAAATGTTTGTTATCGATTTTCATGATATGGATGCGAAAAATTAACCAGCAATCAAAAAAAATAAGGGTGTGTTTGATCCACATTATTTTGAAAGAATGTATTCTGAAATAGTAGATTGATAGAGAATTTGTGGTTGAAAAAGAAGGAAAAGTTATTGATGTGATGGAAAATATTATTTTATTGAAAAATGTGTGGTTAAAAATGAGTAAAAGAATAAGAATGAAAATTTTAATGTATACCAAACAAATTTGTGGATGAAAAAGAAGGAAAAGTTATTAATGTGATGGAAAATATTATTTTATTGAAAAATGTGTGGTTGAAAATGAGTAAAAGAATGAGAATGAAAATTTTAATGTGTACCCAACATGGGCTAAATAATTAAATAATAAAAATAAAAATTGGAGCAACGTGTCACGGACCACATGGGAATGACTTGAGGTTGGACATGGCGCGGGAATGTCACGGCACAAGATGGGAACATGAGGTAGATCTATGGAAAATTAAATCTAACCTTCGCGGTACATGGCGATGAGGGCGTCGCCTAGTTCGGTGGGGGAATGACTTACGTCCCCCATGGTCACGACCAATACGTCCAGGTTGCGGTTGGGGAAATCAGGTAGCGCAGGCAGTACACTACGGCTGGATGTAACTTACTGCGATTGGAGATGCAGGCTGAGGAAAATCATGTAGCACAGACAAGACGCTAAAGTAGGATGGAACTACCTGCGGTAGGGACGCGGGTAGGAAAAATACATGCACTGTGTCAAGGGATGCAAGCAGGACCAACACAGGCACTGTGACAAGAGATACATGCAAGCAGAACTCAGGTAGACTGTGTAGGCAGAACGCAGACAACAAACATAGTGATGCTGTGCAGGCAGAACGTAGGCTGGGACAAAAAAGGGAACGTAGGGATAAGGGGGAAACCATTATCTTGAGGGGGAGAAATATCGTGAACTGTGGTTGGTTGTTTTGGGGAAGCAAGTCGGCAACTTGGCCAACTTGTTTAACTTGCTCCACTTGTGCAACTTATATGAAGATGTCAAGGAAGAAGCAAAGTTCAATTTGACTACTATGAAAAGGGACTTATCCACTTGCATTAGAGTTGTAGAGAATTGTCACTTGCAAGGAAGCAAAGTAGGTTGATGCAACTTGCAACCAATAAAGACTCTTGGATGAAATTAATCTTGGCCATTGATTCCAAAACAACTTGCAAGGTTTTGACTATAAATAGATGTGTTGGGTTCATTTGTAAATCACATGGATAGAAACTAGTAGAGAGAAAATACTTGGGAAGTTGTAAATACTTCTCTTCCATTTATACAAAGAGGATTTCCCAAATTTGTGTATTTGCTCCTTTACTCATAATTTCCCATCCACCTTCTCTACTTAGAGTTGTTATAATTTAGCCGCATTGATTAAATTATCGTGGGGGTTTAAGGCTGATTTAACGCTATCTCGTGGGGACGGGAGTTGTGAAGCGTTAAGGTTGTATGGTGCTAGCGTAGTTCGGGAGTGATGAAACTAGGCCTGTGACATAAGGCCACACGGTACTAACATAGTTCGGGAGTATCAAAGACTACGTTCTCGAGGGGTTGAACAAGTTTTATCTCTAAGATGAGGTGATATCCGAGCAAGGTTCATGTGGTGTGGACTACGGAGGCGGTATCAAGGCAAAGGTTTGGCTGGGGTAGCCAAGTTCGGCTTTGGTAGTTGAGTTTGTGGGAGGTTCTTGGAGCTAGATTTGGGTGAGGTGCTCAAATGGCGGAATCTCAAGATACTGTTGAAATTGAGGTAGAGGATAAGGGATGTGGTGCTTCCATCGTAGAAGGAATGAGGACAGAGAGTAAAATTGAAGCACGAGAAGCTTCGGTTATGGAAGGAAAACTTGATCTTATCATCGCTAATATGGATGATAGGATTGAATTTCTTGAGCACTCCAGGGAGGCATTGGAGGGCTACGCCATTGGAAAGTTGGAATCTTTCCAAAATGACGTTCAAGAGGTGAAGGACGCTCAGGCATAACTGGGAACGATGTTCCATGCAGTGAAAGATGATGTCCAAGCTATGGTAGTTGGACAAGCCGCTTTGGGTGAAGATTTTGCCCGTCTCCATGCCAAAGTCATAGATTACGTTGCCATACAAGGGCAAGTGAACCAATTAGCTGTGATGATGGAGAAAATGAGCAAGGAGCTCAGGCAATACAAACAATCTATTGTCGGTACTAGCGGAGATGTCACTACTAGTGTTGTTGCTCCAAGGATTGAGTACCCGAATCCTAAAGGCTATGATGACCAAAGGGATGCAAAGGATGTGGAAAATTTTCTATGGCAAATGGAAGTATATTTTGATTGCGTAAATATTGTCGAGGACGCAATGAAAGTATGGACCGCAACCATGTATCCTTTCGACATCGCTTCTCTTTGGTGGCGTCAGAACTCAGAAGCATGCCAAATTTCAAAAGGGAGCTTGCAAAGTTGACACTTGGGATGAGTTTAAAAGGGAGCTAAAAAGGTAATTTTGCTTGGAGAATGTTGTGTATGAGCCCGCAAGAAACTTAGGGAATTGAAACATAAAGGAACCCAATACATTTATTTACAGGCAAAACCTTGTAAGTTACCTTGAAATCGACGGCCAAGATTAATTTAATCCAAATGTTTTCATTGGTTTCAAGTTGTATGCAAGTTGCATCAACCTCCTTTGAGCAAGTGGTAGTCAGTTTGGTCTTTTCTCTTCCTTACAAGTGGCAATTCTCTACAACTCCAGTGCAAGTTGACAAGTACCTTTCATAGTAGCCAAATTGAATTTTGCTTCTTTCTTGGCATTTTCATGCAAGTGGGGCAAGTTGCATGCTTGCGTTACTGTCTGCGTTCTGCTTGTCCAGTCTGCTTGAGTTCCGCTTGCCTGTATCTCCTGCCACAATGTCTATGTTGGGCTTGTCTGCCACAGTGCTTGTGTTTTCCCTACTTGCGTTCCCTACCGTCGTTAGTTTCGTCTTGTCGTAGCGTCCGGTCTACGCTACCCAATTTTCCTCAGCCCGCTTCTCCCATTGCAAGAAGTTATGACCAGCAAATTAGGCAATGCCCTCATCACCATGTACAGTTGAAGCTTTGACCTAATTTGCCATAGGTCTACCTCATGTTCCCATCTTGTGGACATTCTCACGCCATGTCCAACCTCAAGTCACTCCTATGCGGTATCTGACATTCTCCCCACTCAATCCTCTTACGACCTCGTAGCGAATCATGTTCCTTGCATCTTCATGCAATTTAAGCATTTCATTATCCTTCATGTCAATGGGCATGGAATATCTCCATACTTGCGGCACCATTTCCTCGATGGACGAGTGTCCATAGTATCTCATGCACCTCTTCCTGTTGTAACCTCTTGCATGCCACCTTCGACACCAACCTTCACCCTCTACATTGGTTCTTCGAATGGACTACTCCTTCGGCCGTAGCGTCCCTACGCATGTCGAATCTTTCAACACAAGTGCCCCTACTTTTTGGCTTTATGTACAATGCTTTATCAATTTCCCTCCTTTGTTGTAGTCCCCTCGGCAACTCTGCTATTGCCACATCCTTATCATCCTCAAGGACTTCAGCTAACTGCATCCCCGCAAGCTTTCTTGTTTCCCTTCCCACGAAAATGGTTTCGACATTGATGGCATTAAGTAATTTCAACGAACCAATCCAACTCGCACTCGAGTCTGGCTATCAAAGGATTCCTGTTGTGAGATCGACGCCAATGATCCTAGCTTAGGACAATACCTCGTGAGATGCAACCATTTGCAAATGAGGCAACCGCGGTGTGTAAAATTACCCATCTTCTTCTCATCATACTCCTTCCTCCAAGAAGCTTGTTGTCGGGTCTATAATCAAATTTAGGATTTTGCCTCCAATCTGGCTTTCTCCATTGCGTGTCGTTCATTGAGTCGTCCCAACTTTGCTAAAATCCCCTTTGGCTGGTTTGAAGAATTTAGCCTCCGTTTCCACACTTTCCTCAACCTCTGTTAATGATTCGGCAACCGCAATTGCCTCATCTACGGTCTTGACTTCGTGACGCTGCAGTTCTTATCTCACCCTAGTAGCACAACCATCTAGGAAGTAAAATAGCAAGTCGTCCTTCGGCATGCTAGGAATTTGAACCATAAGGGTTGTCAACTCTTTGACGTAGTCACGAATTGTTCCTTTATGTTTTAATTCCCTTAGTTTCTTGCAGGCCTCGTACACAACATTCTTTGGGTAAAATTGCCTTTTTACCTCCCTTTTGAACTCATCCTAAGTGTCAACTTTGCAATCTTTGGAGGTACATGGCAATGAAGGCGTCACCTAATTTGGTAGAGTGACTTACAATCTTTGGAGGTACATGGCAATGAAGGCGTCACCTAATTTGGTGGAGTGACTTACGCCCCCCATGGTCACGGTCAATACGTGTAGTTTAGTAGGCAGTGCGCTACAGCTAGACGTAACTTGTGGTGGGAGATGCAGGCGGAGGAAAATCAGGTATCACAGACATGACGCTACAACAGGACGGAACTACCTACGGTAGGGGATGCCTGTAGGGAAAAAACAGGCACTGTGGTAGGGGATGCAAGCGGGACTAACACGGCACTGCGGCACGAGATATAGATAGGCAGGACTTAGGCAGAATGCAGATAGTAACGTTGGTAGGATGTGTAGGCAGCAAACACAATCAGCAGGCCAGGCAGGACTCGGGCTGGGAAAACGCCAGCAGGGGATGTAGGGATGGAAGTCTGGTTTTTCTAAGGGGAAAACCACTATCTTGAGGGGGAGAAATACTGTGGATTGCGGTCGGTTGTTTTGGGGATGCATGTGGCGAACTTGCCCCACTTGCGCACCTACATGAAGATGCCAAGGAAGAAGTAAAGTTCAATTTGGCTACTATGAAACATTGGAGTTGTAAAGAATTGCCACTTGCAAAGAAGCAAAGACCAAATTGACTACCATTTGCTCAAAGGAGGTTGATGCAATTTGCATACAACTTGCAACCAATGAAGACCCTTGGATCAAATTAATTTTGGCAATTGAATCCAAGGCAACTTGCAAGGTTTTGCTTATAAATAGATGTGTTGAGATCATTTATAAATCATATGGAGTGATGGAGAGAAACTCGTGGAGAGAAAATACTTGAGAGGTTGTAAATAGTTCTATTCCATTGATACAAAGAGGTTTTCCCAAATTTATGTGTTTGCTCCTTTACTCATAATTTCCTATCTACCTTCTCTGCTCAAAGTTGTTATAATTTAGCCTCATTGGTTGAATTATCGTGGGGGTTTAAGGCTGACTTAACGCTATTTCGTGGGGACGGGAGTTGTGAAGCGTTAAGGCCGCACGGTGCTAGCGCATTTTGGGAGTGACAAAACTAAGGCCAGTGACAAATGGCTGCTCTAGTATTATGATTAATGTACAATATACATTCAAACATCAATTTATGCTAACTATAAGTTTCTATGGAATTGCTCAGGTTAAGAACTTATTGATTTAAATTTAAAACCATCACAACTTTTATCCCTCATTCAGCTCAAATCTGCTAACGTGGTTTCTTTAATTTGATCCCTAATCAAGAGTTTGGCCCTTGCTTTTTGATTTCATCTTAACTTTTGTCCTCATAAAGATGACCAGTCTTTGCCCTTTTTGCTATGAAGTGTTAATTAGAGAGGCTCGGTGTCACAGGTATCCAAGCCATGCTCGAATGTGGTTAGCACCAATCAGGTCTGGATTGGTGGACCAAAAAATGAGTGATTATGAAGATGCCATGAATGATTGGCATGGTTTTGTCAATGAGACTGAATCTTATTATGGTGTTGACATGAGGGTTCTGACGAAGCCATTTGCTGAAGAACAGAGAAAATACTATTTGAAGGTTGGCATTTAGGTCTTTTATGCTTAATGTTCTATGTTTTTGGAGACACTGTGTACAGATTTTGGGATTTTACTAACTCCGCTTGCCTGCATTAGATATAGTGATATACTATCATTCTCTTCCAAAGAATTTATGCATGTTTGAAAGAGTAAATAGATTGGACCAATGCATTTAAACTTTTTGGATGTGTGATGGCTGCATTTTCTTCTTGTTTTAGTAGAAAATATTGTCTCATGACGTCCTTTCCACTTTCTTTTTTCAATTCTTCTGCCCCTTGGGTGAATTGTATTGAAAGAAGTGTTGGCAGTATTTCTCCTGTGTAAGCTGTTGCCTGTTTTCATTTTTATTTAGGTTATCTATTGTCTGGGTATTTTTGTAAGCATTTAACGAACAGGTCTCTTATTTAATTTACTCCTGCCTGTTGTTGTATATGATTCTTCTATGGACCACATTTTTTATTTTATTTTTTTTGTAGTTTTTAAGGTTATGTTTGATAGCACACATCATATGTAACGGTACACACCTGCACAAACTCCTGCTTTATTGTTGTAATTGATTCTGTGTGCCTGTACCATATGCCTTTTTTTTTATATATAGTTTTTGAGGTTATGTTTGGTAGCACACACCATAGATAATGGTACACACCTTCACCCTTTGTGGTTCTAAATTTGCATTATGTGAATTTATATTTGCTTTATCGTTTTTTCGATATTTAAAATCTTTTCCTTTATTTTTCTTTGGTTTTGAAAATTGCTCCTGTTGTCTCCCTTTACATCAAAAAAATTACGCATTGTAGACATCAATGTGGAATAACCTTCACCCAAATCAAGTTATTGGGACACCTGTTATTATTAAGGAGATAGATTGCTCAACAGTTACCATAAATGATATACTTGGTGTCCGTGCAAGCGTTTCATCTTCTATCTCAGCAGAAAATACAAGGCTCTGTGGATTTGCTGGATGGTTTGATGTTCATTTTCGAGTGAGTATGCATATCACTGATTACAGGCATCCATCTACTTTCCTAAAGAAATAATGCTTTATTAACCTCCTTTGTTTTATTTTCTAGGGTAGCCATGAGAATCTGGCTCAACAGGAAATCGAGTTGACAACTGCACCTAGTGAAGATTTCGGTACACATTGGGGCCAGCAGGTTAGTAAAATTAGCGATTCTGACTTTTTCTTCTTGCAATTGGTTATTTAGAGCGATGAACATTGTCAATAGCCGATACATTTTGTGAGAAAATGTTAGTAACTAGCCCTCTTGTCTATAGTCGTTTATATAGAGCACTTTTGGTAGGCTTTTTTTCACTTCTTTTGCACCACATTTTACATAAATAATCCCTGCTTTTGTTAGTTTTTCAAAATTCTCCCAGTGCTTGCTCTTTATCCATTGTTTTTAAGGTTTCATTGTTCTCCTTCATTATTGCAGGTTTTCCTCTTACATCCTCCTGTACGTGCTCATCAAGGAGATAATTTGATATTAAATTTTTCTATGACGCGTGCAAAAGAGAATCATAGGTTGATGGAAGTTGACCTCACGTGTGAGATTAGACAGACATCTGGAACATTGCTTCCGCCGTCTACCAACAAGTTTTACATAGAATGAACCTACATCCAGACATTTTCACAGGTGCAACCTTGTGCAAAAATAAACTGATAAAATTTTGTCAACGGTATGAATTACATGAGAACTTATTACAATCTTTTGGTGTCAACATGTGCCTGCTAGTCTTTAATGCAAATCGTACTCGTGATAGCATCTCAAAGATGCCGTGTAAACAATATGATGGTAGTTAACCAAATTGACACGAAATGAAATTTGCCTATGTACTAAACAATGTCTTCTAGAGTACTGTAACCCCAGGAATCAATAAAATATGTGCTTGCGCTGAAAATGTCGAAATCTGGTTATGAATATCTCTTCTTTTCTCTTCTCACTGTTTATATTTTGTGCCATCCAACTGCTTGTATGAATGCTTGTAGTTTGAACAATTTTTTTTTGTAATATTGCAGTGCCTGCAAACATGTGCGACTCTCAAGTTCCCGTGATAGCTGCGTCATCCCACGAGGTTTTAATGATGCGTGATAAACTTTTGAGTTACTTGTACTAGTAATTTTGCAATGTTCATCTTACTGTTCAGGAACAAAAACTCTTCTGACAAAAGTAAATTGGGGAACAACGGCTAATTTTGATATTTATAAAAGTTATTTCTGTTTTTACTTGTGCAAGTCTTCTCCTATCTTTTCATTGCTCGTTCCAGCCATTATTTTTTTTTTTTTTTCATTTTTTCTTTTAATTTGTCTACTCTTTGCTGCTATATTGGTTAACAGATTTGCTACGGCTAAAATATAGGATTTTGAATATGCTGTTAGCACCATCTGCTCTATATCGACATTGAAAATACGTATTGCTTATTGAGAATAGAGACAAAGATGAATGCATTACCTTCATAATATACTATATATTTTCTGTATCTTAATTTTTAATTTTTTGTAGTTGTAGTAAGTGGAATAGTGATTGATATTTTTGATATGAAGCATGCTTCCAAATGATTGCTCTAAATTTCATATCAATCATGTTAAAACTCATCATTTTGTACTTGTAGAACTATACAATATTCTAAATCTTATTGGACTTTTAGAACCCAACACAATTAAAAGTCTCACGCCAATGATGTCAAATTCATAATTTTTGTCGTTAGAGAAATGTATAGTGATTTAATTCTTATTTAACTTTTAGAACCCAATACGAAATGCACTGAAAATTCTGGTTCCGCTACTGGTAACGATGGGTTTTAGACGAGCAAATATATTGCTTGTGGTTTTGAACTCTCGGGAACATATTCAGTGGAGAAGGGATGAGGTTTGTAACTCAGAGGATTAGAGCACGCTGTTATGAATATTCAACACAATGACGACCAAATGGAGAGGGAAAGCAATGTGTGGCAGGGGAAAGTTGTCTACTGATAATGCGACAATTTCACAAGCTAGGTTGCTACACATGTAATGAGAAGCTCCATCAAATGAAATGCGACATCAGTCAAAGATGATCTTTCTAACACCAACTAAATAGACTCGTATTTGAGCAAGACATGATTTCTCAAACACTATAACAAATGTGTGCTAAAGTTGATACATGATCAAGAAAGGTGGCTGTTCATGGGGTAAACTTAGGCCCAAATGTTATCAAAGGGTGAGACATACATATTTCAATGTTTTGAAAATCTACTTGAAATAAGTAGAAGTTAAAATGTGACATTTGTGCCTATTGTTCACGACTAAGCTTGAGGTGACAAGTCAGAGTGTTCTTGACGATGACTCTTTAACAAAAGATGGTGATTATAATTTACGCATTACTCGCCATCTCGAAGACAACAAATGTTATTGAAACGCCCGTTTTACATATGCTTTCCCCTTCGGACCCCATTTCCTACTTGAGTGTTGTTAGCGAAAACATTCGTGACAACCATATAGCGTTATCAATAATCTAACACAAAGGTTCTTATAGTCAATATACTACTAAATACCAAGCAAATATTATGACCAAATTGCTTCTTTTTCCTAAAATAACACCAAGATCTCTTCATTCAATCCCAATTGAACTGTCCAATCAAATGGATAACAAACTAGATATAGGTGGCTCCACATTTATAATAACAAGTCCAATCAAATGAAACAATGAGACATATATGAGATTAGATAAAGTTTCCATCCCACCAACTAAACCAACTCCTATTCACCCAAGACATTAGACATATATACATGTTTTCTCAAACAAAATAACAAATGTGTGTGGGCAAACTTAATACTTCATCAAGAAAGGTGCCTCTTCATAGATTAGGGCATATAAGCTAGGCCCAATTGCTATGTCTAAATTGAGACAGCCATATATATACATGAACTTGCATGCAAAACCCTAAATTCTAACCGTTGATTTTGTTGTCCAAAAAACGTAGGACCCATAAAACAAACAGTGCTCAAACATGTCTTGGAACTGTCAAGACAAGATTAGAAGGCAGTTGGTTTAGGGTTTGTACTCATTTGTTGGGTGAATAGAAAGCATATTTCCCCACCAAAAAAAGTGCAGAAACAAACCCTTCTCGGTCATGTGCACAAATTATAGAGTAATCCTTTTGCTGTTAAATCGTTGAGCTTAATTATAAATAGAAAGTCGTGGTTAGACTTTATTATCATCATCAAAAAGAGAGACTATAAAAGATAGAAGTACGATTTTCTCTTGTAAATATTTTTTATCATTGTGAATTATTGCAGCGGAGGGAGATGTCGTAGTCTTACATTGAGACGAACCCCTATAAATCTTGCGTGTTCTTGAATGTTTTTTTTTTCGAATTGATTGCTTTCAGTAGAATAGAATTAGTATTTATAATTCTCAACATTGAATCTATTACAAATGCAATTTCCACGTTATTTGTTGTTGTTAATCCCGAGTTTAGCACGCGTTTAAGTATTTTATTCGAACATCTTCCATAGGAACAAAGATGAAACAATTTTGGATGAATTATTTTATATTCAGTTTGATCGGACGAGAATCTTGAGATTCTATATTAAAATGTCAACATTGTTGGTAAGAGCTTAACAACTCGTTTGACTTTAGAAACATATTATCCATATGATGTATTTGAATTTGCAATTCCATCATAAAACGTCAATTTCGATAGAATTATGTTCCTTGTACACTCCTTGTGTACATGGAGTTTGACACTCCTTTACAAATTCAAAAATGGAGTGGCGGGAAAGTGTGTTGTATTTTCAAACTGGCCAATCGTGCTGCAACATGTGGCACAATATCAAATTTGATGTTAAAAATAATGTACTTGTAGCATTATTGATCTCGATAATTAAAAGTAGTTATGGGTTCCTATCGAATAGCTTGAATTATGTATTCTAACCGATCATCTTTTGGTTGTGACACCACTAAAAGACGAGTTGTCATTCAAATGTTGTCAGAGTATGAAAATAACATATCAATTATTTGTAAGTGTCACATACTTAATTTTTTTGTAACGATGTATTTAGATGAAATAGATAATCGCAAGAGTAAAATTCTTTTTGCCACAATGGGACCGTGCACTCCATAACAACAATTTACCAAAAAAAAANATAACGTTCAAGACAATAAACTAAACTTTACTCGAATATTATATATAAAATAAACAAAATTATTCAAACAAGACAAGAATCCGTTGTCATTTCACATCATTTGATCTGTACATAAAGAAGAAAATAATTTTGACTACTTAAAAATTACAAATTAAGCCACTGTATAGATATTTTTAGTTAATTTTGATAAAAGTTTATGAAATATGTGATTAAAATAATTAAATTATTAATTTTGACTTAGATTTTTAAGCAACACCAAATAGGTACTAAGTGTATTACGTATGAATTATTACTAAGGTTAAAAAGTCTATATCGTTATATGTTTTCCATCTTTAAATGCTCGAACTCCTCTACGAGCTATTAGATTCATTGATCTACATATATTCTTCTTCTAGAGTTTCTTTTTTTTTTTTTTTTCCTCCCTTTTTTGTGGATTTATTTTTTGAGAATAACCTTTTCAATTTTGGGTTGCAAATATATAAATGAACTTTAGTAAGTCATGATAGTATGTTTATAGTAAAATGTGTCCTAAAAAGACAAGTACGAAAATAAAGAATAATGTAGGCTATAAATCGAGATAAAGAACATAAAAATGATCCTCATAATCAGGGGCAGACCTACTTGAGGACCAATGAGGGCTGCCGCCCCACTCAATTTTCAGATTTCCCGATTTTTTTAGTTTTTTTGTCCAAATTTTTTTAGGTTTTCAGATTTTTTTTCAAGATTTTTTGATTTTGCCCCCACTGAACTTTCTTCCTGGATCCGCCGGTGCTCATAATCATAATGCTGGTTTACTACCAGGAACACAAGTTAATCAAAGAAAATTGGAAAGACGATAAAAACTTATCTCGAGAAGTGTGATTTCATGTCTCTCAAGTTTTGTCAATGACTTCATGAAATAAAATTTCCTGGTAATTGTTTAGCATCAGCTCAATCAAGTAGACATAAGAAACCAAACAAGTTACTTCTATTTGATGCCTTCCTTTTTCCAGCCACCAAATGATTTTCATCGTTTTTTTTACGCTTCGACATTCAAACTCCATAGGATCCAAAATACCGCTTTAGATGTTGGAAAAACTCAAGAGTCGATGTTTGAAAA